GTTTTGATTACTATGGCCTTGTAGTATAGTTTGATATTAGGTAATATGATTCCTCCAACTTTGTTGTTCTTTCTCAGAATCACTATTGTTATGTGGGGCCTTTTGTGGTTCCATATAAATTTTTGAAATATTTGTCCTAGTTCTGTGAAATATATCAATGGAATATGGATATGAATTATGTTGAATGTATAGATTGCTTCATGTAGTACATATGTTTTAATGTTAATTCTTCCTATCCATGAATGTGGCATGTGCTTCCACTTATTTGTATCTTCTTCAATTTTTTCAGTGTCTCATAATTTCCTGGGTACAGGTCTTTCACATCTGTGGTTAGGTTTATTCCTAGGCATTTTATTCTTTTTGGAGCAATTGTGAATGAGATTGTTTCCTTAAATTTTCTTTCTGTTAGTTCATTATTGGCATAAAAAATGCAATTGATTTTTGGGTATTAATTTTGTATTCTGCTACTTTGCTAAATTCATTTATTAGTTCTAATAGTTTCTTGGTAGAATCTTTGGCATTCTCTATTTACAGTATCATGTCATTTGCAATAGTATGGATGGACCTGGAGAACATTATGCTAAGTGGAATAAGCCAGTCAGAGAAAGACAAATACCATATGATTTCATTCAAGGGTAGAATTTAATGAACAAACTCAACTAACAAGAAAAACAGAGACTGAATCATAGATGGGGAGCAGATGACAGCTGGTGGTGGGGGGTTAAGGTGTTTAGGAACTGAGCAAAAATAAAAAAGGACTCACAGACATGGACAAACCATATGGTGATTGCAGGGAGGAAGGGGGGTAAAAGGGGACTAAATGGTAATGGAAAAAATACAATAAAAATTAAATCAAAAAAGAAAAAAAGAGAAATGCTCCCCTTATATAGCTCTACTTCAGTCCCTCTTTTTGTGGTATTATTATTATATGTATTACATCTATTAATGTTACCAAACCAATAATACATTGCTATAATTACAGTAGAGCCTTGGTTCTCAAACTTAATTCATTCTGGAAGGGTGTCTGAGAAGTGATTTGTTTGAAAACACAGTAATTTTTTCCAGGTATCAGCATGAAAGTGTTGTCAGGTCAAGAATAGAAATTTTGTTTGACAACTGAACCATTTTTTCCTTGAACAACTTGGTGGAGAACCAAATTATTTGAGATGGGACATGTTTGAGAACTGAGTTTTGACTGTATTACTTTACTACCTATAGTTATTTTTTAGACCAATACAGCTTTGCTTCAACTGCCTCCTTTTTGCTTTGTATTATTAGCAAATATATAATATATATATTACATTTTATATGTTATAAGCCTAGCATTACATTATGTACATAATTTTATACAATTCATCTTTAAATCAGTTAGAGGAATAAAAAAAGAAAAATATTCATTCATAATGCCTTTCACAGTTACTTTGTTACATTTACTAGTGCTCTTTGTTTATGTGGCTTCACATTACCCTCCAGGTTTGCTTGAGTTCAGCCTGAAGAACTTTTAGTATTTCTTATAGGGCAAGTTTGCTAGCAACAAATTCTTTAAGCTTTTGTTTATCTGGAAAAGTATTTATTTTGCCTTGGTCTTTTAAAAAATAGCTTTGCTGATTATAGGATTTCTGGTTGACAGTCTTTTTTCTTTGTAAGTTTTGAGTATATTATTCCACTGCCTTCTTGCTTTTATTGCTTTTGCTGAGAAGTCAGAAAATCACCTTACTGAAGTTCTCTTGTGTCATATTGTTTTTCTTTTGCTGTTTTCAAAGTCTCTCCTTGCCTTTGATTATCACCATCTTGTGTCTATTTGTGGTGTTTAGCTGGAGTAAGCAGATATTTTCAAAATGTTCTCTGTCTTTCTAGGACAGAACTTTCTTGGCATAGAGAGAGCAGGCTTTTGTTAAAGCTTTCTTTCTTTCTTTTCTTCCTTCCTCTCTCTTTTTCTTTCTTTCTTTCTTTCTTTCTTCCTTCCTTTCTTTCTTTCTTTCTTTCTTTCTTTCTTTCTTTCTTTCTTTCTTTCTTTCTTTCTTTCTTTCTTTCTTTCTTTCTTTTCTTTTCTTTCTTTCACCAACTCCTATCTCTTACAAAGTACTTACTCATTTTCCTTCTTCCAGGTTCAGTGATGGCTAAAATCAGTTTTATTTGCCCTATGGTTGGGTAACTAAATGCCTTACTCCTTCAGTTAGCATTCAGTTTGCTAAATACTTCCAGGAAAGAAACAAACAGAAAAATATAAACAAACAAACAAAAACAGATTGCAACTTTAGAGAGATGATATATAAATTTGAGCATAATAGATGATATTTAGAAATTTAAGTTAAAATTACAAGCTTCTTACGAGCATCTACTGGTGCTGCTTGTATTTCTGGTTTTCAGCAGGAACCAGCAAGCAGTCTGGAGTCTGTCCTGCCTCCAGGTATTCTGCCTGGCCTTTCTTAAAACTGCAGTCCTACTTTGATCTTTGTATTTTTTCCTTATTGAACTGAAATTACTAACTGATGAAAAAATGTCTACCTAATACTAGGCATCATTTCTTTCTGTACCTTATCCTTTTACTTAGATTGGGCATCTTGGTTACTGATATATACATACATTCAAATTGGGACCTTATTCTATTCCTTAGTTTAGGCTGCATCAACAAAATACCACAGACTGGGTGACGTAAACAGGAAACACTGTGGAAGTTCAGGAGTTCTGGAGCTTAGAAATCTGAGATCAGGGTTCCTGCATAGTTGGATTCTTGGTGAAGGCCCTCTTCTTGGTTTACAGATGGCCACCTTCTTGCCATATCTTCATAAGACAGAGAGTGAGAGGTTTGGTTTCTTCAGCCTCTTCTAATGAAACCAGTCTCTCATGGGGGCTGCAGACCCATGATATCATTGATACTAAATTACCTCTGTAGGTAATGAAGGGCGCATCACATCCCAATATCATCATGCTGGGGATTAGGGCTACAACATATGGAGTTTCGGCAGACACAGACATTCAGCCCTCAGCAGGACTTGGTTGGTGTCACTTGTCATTCTGCAGTTCTCTTTAGTAGAAGGGCTGCCATTTGTGCCTTTTATGATTATTTTATTTTAACTGTATATATAAGGCCTGTTTTGTAAATATCTTCTGTCACCCCTTGAACTGCCTTTTTACTCTATGATATAATTCTGATTTTCCCTCAATTCTTTGAATAGCTAGCTTATATTAATCCTGTGGTCCTCTAAATCCTAAAGTCCTCTAAAGGATCTTCTTTAACCATGTTTTGTAGGATTACATCAATGAAACATTTTAAGGAGAAGTACAGTATGATCAGATATACATTCTTTAGAAGATCATTCATGTTTTGTGCAGATGATAGAGATAAGACACCAGTTAGCATATCCTTCAAACATTCTTGAAGACATCTTGGTTGATCCTAGTTAAAGACTGTGGCAGCAGAGGAGAAAGAGGTAAAGATGGAACCCAGACATATTTGACAGTGAAATCTGAGACTTGGTGGACAAAATGTAAGAGATTCGGAGAGAGGGTAATAGCATGTCTGTCTCTTACATTTCTGGCTTAAGTATTTGGGGATCATTCAAAACCAAATTCTGATTTTGCCATTCCCTGTTCAGCATTTCCGTACTCCCCAAAAGCATTCAGAATGAAATATAAATTTCTTCACTTAGTTGTCAGAAATGTTTCAAGAGCTACTTCCTATTCACATCTTAATCTTACCTCTGGCCACTCACCCACCAAGGTCCTTTCATGGAAGCTGCTACCAATGACTTGCAGTGTATGTGTGGTCTGACCACTTAGAAACTTCGGTTTTCCTCACACTCATGCTATGTCCCCTGTGCCTTTTCATTCTGCCTGGAATATCCTTCATTCTCTTCTTTATTTAGTGAATTCTCCTTGAATTTTAAGGCTTGCATCAGCTGTTCCTTCCTCTGGAAAAATGATGGCCCTTCCAGTATGATTTAGGTTTTTGAAGCACACTTTGCCCACCTCTCCCATTCCACTCTGCAGCTGGAGGGAAATTACTATGCTATTGTTTTGCCTATCAATTAGACTTCAAGTTCCATAGTCAGGAGACAGAATTTTTTTTATATACTTATATTATTAATACTTAGTATACATTGGTGTTCAATATAATATTTAACTGTATAAATAGCTAAATGGATAGTTTAATAAATTCTTCTTCATCAGAAAGACAAACTAAGATTTCATGGAATAATTGCCTGATTTTGAATTAGACTCCTCACTCCTGAAGCAGGAATAGGATTGAGAGAGACATAGATACTGGTACAGATCAAGGAACAAATATATATTGTATGTCCTGAGTTCCTGCGTGAATAAGTAAGTGAGAAGGCACTTTCCAAGGGGGAAAGAAGAGTGTGAGTAATAGCAGAGAAGCACTTTGGTTTGGCTAATTGTGAGGGGTCTACTTTGGCTGAAGGTTAGTGTAGCTGAAGGAGACAGTGGAAAACCGAAGGACCTCTGGCAGCAGGCTCATCATTTTGCTTTTGGGTTTGTTTATTGGAGGAGTTATGGCACTGTCAAAATTGAATTTTTGTAGCATTTAACTTTTTTCATGTGAAGAGATTTGATGATAAGAGAACACTAGACCAATCATAAAATCAAATATTTACAGACAAGCAAGTTGGTGGATTCTTACTTGTCACCCTCTGGGAGAAAATACTTAGTACTTCCTTTGTTCCTAAGCAGACATTTTACTTTGCAAGTTAACTATGGAATCTAATATGAAGTATATTGGAGGAGGAAGTAGAGGGGAAGGAGGAGAAGGGAACGTATGTAATCACTAGTCAGATTGAAGTGTTGAGGCTTCTGCTAGTTTAAAAACATGTGTGTTTATATGATCACTTACATTTTAAATTCTGCCCCAAACATTGCAAAGTAGAATCATTGTACTCACCATTATAGATTGTGTCCAGGAGGCCTCTTTATTCAGATAGCCCTATATAACAAGAACAGTTAATTCACCTGATGTCATTATTTTTATTTGTGTTCTATAGTCCGGTATCTGAAGTTACACAATCTGGTGCTTTGAAGCCATCACTGGAAATCTGGCTCTAACTAGACTGGTGGTGTCCAAAGAGATGATCTCACGTAAGTCTGTTTCACCTGTGCTCTCTTCACAGGGATTGATTTTGCTCTCCTTTGTCATTATAAACGACAGGTTCTCCTGCCTCCACTTCTATCCAAACTCATGTCTTATGACCTGTCAGAAATTTATGTATTTTTAAATTTGCGAGGAATTTATTCAAGCCTCTGTGTACAAGCCCCTGAAAAACAGAACGGAAAGTCCAAACTACAGCCTCCAATTCTGCCTGGGCCCCAAGGTCTCCAGCCCATCATAGCTGTCCACTGATGACCATTATATGGTCCTCCCTCCAGGAGAAAGCAAGACGAGTGGTGGTGATTCTTAGGAATTATTGAAGAATTTAGTCATGTGTCTCATTTAAAAAGCAAAGCAAACAAAATAAAGCAGTATTCAATTATCTTTGCCCTCTGTTAGGTCTCATGGTTCTCCCTTTAAAGTGGATTACAGTATTCCTGACTTCAGAACCTGAGTCTAATATGTACTTTAGAATCTGTCTGTAGTACCAAATAATGTGTTACATTTCTAAATAAATACATTTCTAAAGAAATGCCTGTGAAATGATATTTCTCTTAATCCACTCAGAAGATTATTTGTCACCAGACCCTGACTATAAAAAAAATCAATGTTTAAAAGGCTTTACTCGTTATAGTAATGTATCACTTAAAGTTTATTCTAGCTGCCTATGTACACAGCCTAGTAGAACATGATTATGTCCAAGGGTGGCTTATCTCAATAGGACAGGCAGAGGCATTATCACTAAAATGAAGTACAAGGAAGAAGTCTTCTGTTGTTGGTATTTTTGTTATAGTAGGCAGAGCTTGAACAGATGAGCTGAAATAAGCGTAAGCAATTTCAAGCTGTTTGACTATAATCATTGGACAACAGAAGAGAGAGAAAAAGTAGGAATACTGTATCCTTCTCTCCCCATTTCCTCATTGGAATCCAGGGAACATTTGGGACTGAGGATTTTTAAATGACCTGATGAATGAGGAGGCATCCTGTCAAGCTAGTTGGAAGCAGATTGAATAATGTCAGTAAGATTGGCATCATCTTGGGAGAACTGAGTGATGATGATGAAGCTGAAAAGGCAGGGGAGCATTTATCCAAACACACCTGGCCCTGGTTGGTTCCAAAGAAAAATCAAGAGACTTGGCAAAAACCACTTGTTAGTAAATGTTTCATAGAAACTAACCATGTCTGGAGATTCATAAAAGCTATCTAAGCCCATAAATTATTATATACAGCATTTAAGCCATTGATTAGCACAATAAAAATGGCACAGCAAGTGTTTAGAAAAATGTACAGACATTGCATGGAGATACGTATTTTTCCGAACAAGAGCTTATCATATTGAAGATAGCTTGGAACTATCTACAAGCTATTTTAATGAGATTGCTTTCTGAAGGAAATAAGTTCAGTACATCACTGCTTTTCTTCAGGATTTTCATCCTTCATGTAAAATTTTAACCATAATGGAGGGAGAGAATCTCTGGTTCTAAAAACTCAACAAATTTCTTATCCACAGATACAGGCAAGTGGAAACTAGAACTTTTCAATAACAATACTAATCATTGTGATTTGTTTTCAGTTTGTTACAGACTCAAATAACACTGCTAAGTGTAAGATGTCTCAAAGCATTTCTGTGCTTGTGTATTTGTTTCAGGGACCTAGAGAGACAAATCTGAAAGCAGTATGTTCTGATCCAGAAGCAGCTGGAAATGGCAGCAACCTGATATGGAGCAATCAAGAACTGAAGGTTTATTTTGAAGGAGAGGCCATGACCAACTGTGAGACTGAGTGATGGCAGCTGAGAATAAGTGCAAATACAATCAGTAGTGACCTCTGGTAGAAAGTTACTGAGGACCTTTCTTCTTTCATGTCTCTTTCTGTCGCCACATTTGTACCGCATCCATAAATTGCAATACTATCTATGGAGGAGGGAAACAAGTTCTTCAACTTAGTTTTATTCTTAATAATAGCTTCTGAGCTTCCATGATTTGAAAATACAATGATAAAATGGCTCTTTCAGCAAACAATATATTTCAAAGCCCAGTTGTATTTTGGACAGGTAAGAATGCCTCATCATTAAATGGTCTTTAATATGCATCGCCTCTCCAGTCTGCCATCTCTTTTTATTAGTTGTTCTCTCTTTTCTATAGTTGTATAGCTATGAGCAAAGCGATTTCATTGTTCCTTGTTCCTACCAATGTTATCATTTCACTAATATACAAGGGTAGACCATAGATGCTGCTCATTAAATATTGTTGAACAATCTATAATTATACTATTTTATATTTGAATATCATCTTTTAGGAGTTTGTAAAGCACTTTAACATAACTTATTTAATTAAACTTCACTGGAAAACAAATTTATTGTCCAAATCTGTGTTTCTAAGCCTCCTTATTTTATAGACTTACTTCATATATCACACATACCTGTCACATCCTGTGAATACAGACATGTGACTACGTAAGCAAGGTTTCTCAAACTCATGCTTTGTGCTTTGTTTAGCATTTCTTTATGATTATTAAAACTTTAAGAAAAATAAAAACCTTCCTCCTCTTTATGTTACAAAAAAGATCATGTAATGAGTTAGAAACCTTTCCTTTTTTCTTTTCCTTTTTGACTCCTGTAACTATGTAAGGCACTGATGGGGTGGAATACAAACATGAATACGATGCATTTTTTCACCTTGGTGGGATCAAACTTGATTTGCCACTGGCAATTTCTGTTGGAAAAAAAATGGCCACTCATTTTAGAACCTTGGGAGGCAAGTTGGACCCTAAGAGGCTTTACGGTTTGGGGAACTGTTCTGTCTATGCTCAGATGTACAACACTCCTTTTCATCTGGTTGCTTTTACACTGCAAGGGGCAGAGGCAAAGTATTCAGAACAACATCAGTGGGTCCAGAGTATTGAAACACCACTCTTAGCGGCCATGCCAAGTTACTTTATTTGTTCATGGAGCACTTGAAAAATGAGAAAGAACAGCAGGCCTTTCAGAGAGAACAGAGAGAGCTGGCTTCCAATGCTTTCATTACCAAACGAGGGTGTTCAGATGCATAGAAATGTTAAATGTCTACCAGAAAAAATATCAATGAATGACACTGCCAGTTACAGTTCACTCAACCCTGATTTAGCAATCATTCGAGATTATACCAGGGAATGGTTTTGCAGTATGAAAAACCTTTCAATTATTCCTGCTGTGTGTTAATGCATTTGAAACACTGGAAGCTGTCAAAGGAAGTAGAATATCAGTACCACCACCTACACTCCGGAACAAAAATCATATAATGTAGTTGTATGAAAGTAGGCTCAGTGGAACATGAACTTTATTAAAATGTGTGTATAATCCCGCAGGCTTGAAAAGTGTCAGATCTGACTAAGAGATGAAATAATAATACCATGTGTTGGTATTCATACAGAATGTTTTTCTTCGGAGGACCCCAAAGCAATTCATGGGTACAGCTCAACCTTTTCATGTTGCACTTTAGAATCTTAGTCAGTGCACTTTAACACATCTAGCAACCGGGAAGGTGACCAAGTCTCAGTGTGGAAACTTTCAGAGATTTAATTTCTTGTCATAAGCCTGGAAAATAGAGGATACTGGTCCCCAAACCTAGGCAGCTTGTGCACCTGGGCAGTGTCTCCATAGAGTGTTCCTACATGTGTGTAGGGACATCATGCATCGTCCCAGCCCCAGAAATGGCAAAGGATTTATTCCAAAATGAAAATCTGGTACACAGGCTACATAAGGCTTTCTAGCTTTCTACCAACATTTTATTAAAAATGGTTCTATAAAGTATTTATAGTTCACATCAAGATGGCTATTTAAAGGTTGAGATACTATCCTAAAGCACCATTAGGTCCTTATAATATTAGGATTTGTGCAAGATAAAGCCCAATGTTGCCATGGAGATCAGTAAATAATCTTGATCATAGACACTCGTTCCCACTGCCAAGACATGGGTGGGAGAGGTGGTTCCCACAGACACTGTTTTCTCTAGGCTAAAAATACAGTGTGGTTTCTATCAAAGGGCAATTTTTAAAAATTCGTGGTGACGTAGCCTAAAGGGAACATGCCCTCTCATTTTCAGAATAATTAGGCAGTGAGTGGGCTCTCCAATACTTGGAGATTATATTTGTATCCAATATTAACTATGCTCATGCTCTTTGTGTCAAAGGTGGTGTCAAAATGGCAGCTTTTCTAAGTGCTGTTTCACATGGTCTCAAAAAAGAAGTTGTTTATGGAGATGGATCCATTGCAGGCAGAAGTTACTTCCCACTGACAGTAACTCCTTACAAAAGTCATTTGGGTTTGTGAGATACTGCTTCAAAGAGTTGTGATGGATGTAAATTCTATGAAGATTGCCTTTAAGACTTCTCATCTAGAAATCCAAAGCATCACAAGTTTTTCCTCAAGTTTATTGTTAAATGGATATGTCAATGGAAATATAATCAGTCCTCAGATTTACAGGGTGCTGTGGAGTCGGCAAAGTGGTTTTGCCACCAATCATTTTGCTTGATGAACTTTCCCAATCCTGTGAGATAAGCAGTGCTGGGAATTCATTACTGTCTCCTTTCATATGATGAGACTGAGAATTAACAACAGTTCAAATGCTGCCTAAAGTTACACAGATAACAAGTGTGAGATTGAACACCAGGCCTCCACATGAAAACTATTCTCCTTGCTCTATTGTGCTAGGGAGATGACATGCTTCATCTCATGTAATTACTCTTACAAACACTGTCAATTGTCATTCGATTCTGTGACAATTAATATTAAACTGTCATCTGGATTACTGTCTAGAAAATTAGTTGAACTAAACAGCAGTTCAATAAAATTATCCATTGTCTGGGGCTGGTCATCCTCATGGTCCCATAAGGGGATTTATTTTAAGAAAATTTGACACACATTGAAAAAAACTAATTCTCAATTCATTAAAAATCCTGCCCAAATCAAGTTTTATTTTTCCACTTGGAAGGTAAGTTCCCCTCTTCTTTTTATCCATCCCCTCCGCCCCCAGGACCCCTTGTGGCTTGCCAGCCTTATTAAGTTTATCATTGCACAATTTAACCTATGTTTTTGCCTTCCTTTGATGGATGTTGTGGTAGAACAGTCAGGTTTAAAAAAATGTTATTCCCCCTGCTGTCTTTCTTTAAGGTGTGTTCTTTAAATAGAATATTCCCTGGGCTGCTTCCAGTTTCAAATTGTGCAATTTATCAGGGGATCAGCCCTAACCGCGGTACACGCCTATGGACTGACTGCTTCAGGAGTTCCGGAGCACATGCCGTCCTCTTCTCAGACAGGCTCCTTCCTCCCTGAGCATCATTTGTAAAAGCTGTCACTGACGTGATAAGGAACTCATCTTTCTCCGCTGTCCCTCAGGACAGACATCTGTTGGTTCCCACTGTGCGAGGCCCCAGAGTTAAAGGCTTCATGTGTCTATACAGCTTCCTTATCATCTTACCCTTCATTCTTATGAGTCAACCCTGTGACCTTCTGCAGTTTTTATTTTCTCCTTAAATTATAGAGTTGGCTTCCTATGTCCGCAACCAGAGAATCCTGCTTGCTACAGAAGAGTAAAAAGAAAATGTTATAATTAGGCTGTTTTCCCATTGGAGCAACACTGTAAAATAACCAAATAATTTTGTCATCAAGCATTATTTATTATGGCAGTCTCATACTTTCTGCAAATTACTACCATTTACGGAGACAGTGTACATTTTGCTTGAATCTCACAATGTTTTTCACAGGCTGTGTTTACCCCACTTTATGGGAAGATAGGTAAATGAAATTTATCTGTTTACAAAACCTCCCTACAATCTTTATATTTGGAGTAGTAGTTCCAAAACCACTCATTTCAATGGTGCACCATTGACCGAGCTCATTTAGGAGACAGAGTGGCTTTAAGTACTGGTTGTGAAGGTAATTTCTCTAGGTCAGGGACAAAAGTCATTTAGTCTTTCTCCAGCCTAGGAATCTGTTTGCTCTGCTAATTGAACTACCCCAATCAGATCAATAACAGCCCTTCTCTGCAGTGAGGCAGGCAAGAAATCCATTCTGAAGCAGCGATGAGTTGCTTTTCCCTCCTACATGCCTCCTGCTAATGTGAATCTTGGCAGAACAGACATGACTTAGCAAAAGGTAAGCATACCAAAGTAAGAACCATATTCTTGGAGAGTTCCTTTATTCCTGACATACACTTGGGTTTCCCTTCCTTAAAGATCACCACCACTGTGAACTACCTTGCTTGCTTCGACACCTTGAAGAGCAGAGACTGTGACAAAGTAGGAAGAATGGGTGACTGACCACCATTGCCCCTAAGGGTTAGAAGTTCATTCATCACTCCCGTTTCTGTGTATTTCCCCTACACAGAGTTCCCTGGAAGTCCATGCTCAGTTCAAGAACAGAAAATAAACACAAGCAAAATCATGACCACTCTTTATCAATTGTATATATTTTCCTTTCTTCTCAACATGTTGAAGGAGGGATGATGAGAATGTATGGGAAAATAATTTCGTTGAGATCTTATTTTCCCTAATCCACTCTGTCTCTCCTCTTTGTGTTCCCTGTGCCAGTCGTTACCAACCATTTGCACCATCACCCAGGTGTGGGGACAAGTCTTCGAACTCTTCTCTGTGTCTCCTGCCTGGAGCTCCTCCTATTTCTTCTCCACACTGCACCCGATATGATCTTCACTGAGCTTGAATCTGATCCCATCACTCTGCTGATCGAAATCTTTTGGTGGCTCCCCAGAGCTCTGAGGTTGCTCCCCAGTTCCCTCCTGTGGTATACAAGCGCCTGCATGATTTGCCACCCACCTGCCTCTTTTGGCTCATCTTCCATCCCTGTCCCACGGGGATGCTCTGTTCATATCAAAAGATTTGCCTCTGTCCTCAAAGATTTCACAGGTGCCATTCCCTCTACCTGAAAACTTCTTAATTTGCTTCCTCTACCCATTTAATTCTCATTGTTCACAACCCAGTTCTTGAAAAGAAACCCTTCTGATCTGTTAATGATGAAGAGGTTTTGTTTTGTTTTTTTCAGAGCGCCCTTGGCAGCTCTTTCAACACCAGTCATATGAGGTTGCCCTTGTTGGTTCAGGGATGTGTCTTCCATTCAATGTCAAAGTCTGTGAGGGGAAAGAGCACGTCACTTGCTCTTCATGCGCCCATCACCTAGAGGTGTGCATGGAATGTGGACAGCAATCCAGATTGACTTTAGAATTGAAGACAAAGTGAAATGAGTCAATAAGGCTAGTATGTAGATGATGTAACGAAATGTCTAAAGTTGGCCAGGAAGGCAGGCTTGCAAAGCGCGCTTTCCCACAAACAGCTCCTCGAGGCTG